TGTCCACCCACCCATTCATCCATGCCACAGCTCACTGAAGCTCAGTAGGGCTCAGCCTGGTCAGTACCTGGATGGGAGGCCACATGGAAAAACTGGATTGCTGCTGGAAGTGGTGTTAGTGAGGCCAGCAGGGGGTCAACCTGCAGTCTGTGTGAGTTCTGATACCCCAGTAAAGGTGGAAGGGACACCATACTGTCAGTGGGCACCGTATTTCTGATGAGACGTTAAACCAGGGTTCTGACTCTCTGTGGTTGTTAAAAATCCCATGGCACTTCTCGTAAAGTCCTAGCCAAATTCCCTCTCGGCCCTTAACCATCATGAACTCCCAATTATCCACATCAACTGAATTGGCTAGGTCAACTGAAAGTTGATTTCATCAACTGAAATCACTAGCCCCTTTCACACATACAGACCTTTCCGGAAAATTACCGGCAATTTTTCAAGGTGTGTATGTGTGAACAGGCCATTTTTGAAAATACCGGTAAATTCGTTCCGGCTATTTTCCGCAAAGAGAAGTTGTAACATTACCTGTAATTTGCCGGAATGCTGTGCTGTGAGAATGCAGAAGGAAGATCGCCGGAAAGAGCGTGTGCACGTCTAGAACATGCTGACGTAAGATGTCTACTTTAGCCAATCAGAACAGTCAGACGCATTCACGTCTGTGCGGTTTATGTACATAATAGCCTTTTACCATAATAGCCTAAGCCATAATATTTTTCCAGACACATTTAGCTGCTAGATGTTAGTCTAATAACGTTTTTTTGCTCCTTAGTATTGGCAACTGTGTAATTAATTATTGGTAAGATGTTTATAATAAGCCGTTGTTTGTTTACCTTCAAGCTCTGCTTGCAGTTGCTTGACGTGTCGCTTGTGCTCATGAAGGAGAGAGCGCCAGCACACACACATATCATGTACATCTCGACATGCGAAAGTGTTTCTATATGTTTTCATCAAAGTTGTTCATGTTACTGATCCATCCATAGAGTTTGTAATGTTAGTCAAATGTTTACAAATACAAGCGCAGCAGTTTGGAGCTCCTTTCTGGTTAATGATATGAGAATTTACTGGTATTTTGTAATGGATGTGTAAGCGGTCTCTTCCGTAATAATTCCGTAACTTCCTTGCCTGTGTGAACAGCGCTTTTTTGAATTTACCAGTAAAGTCTCTCCGGATATTTTCCAGATATTTACCAGTTTTACTGTGTGAAAGGGGCTACTGTCTCTCTACTACACCTACAGTATAGTTGGTGTGTGGTGAACGCACTGGCGCCATTGTCCTGTGGTTGCAGTCACATCATCCAAGTGGATGCTGCACACTGGTGGTGGTGTGGAGAGACCCCACCCTCATGGCCGTACACAATAAATGCACTATATAAATACACATTACATTACATTACATTACATTATCTATCCATCTGAGCTATTAAAAATAAAAAACCTGAAAAATCAAAAATTGAAGCACTATGAATGCTTTCTGGATGCACTGAATATGTACGCTTATCCATCCATTCTTCCATTCATGCATCCACCATCCTTCCATTCATTCATCCATTTTCATATATGAATTCTTTTCCATCTATCCATCCATCCATTAATTAACCCATCCTTATATGTGTATGCTTATACATCCATACATCCATCAATTCATCCATACATACATTTTTATATACGTATCCATCCATCCATCCATCCATCTTTTTACAGTATGTGTATGCTTATCGATCTGATGACACTCTTTTGATTTGCTTGTCTCTAGATGTAGTAATATTAAAAAGTTTACAGTTTAACTTTTTGCTCTTTTGTCACTTACAAAAACTTCATTAATTTCTGCAATTTACTCTTGGTGAAAATGATGGACAGATCAGATATGACAGGTTAGCAGTCACAGGAAATGGAGATTTATTCATCATGTCTCCTGAGAATGAGAAGAAAGCAGGCTGGCTGAAAGAGTTCGAGGTGATACTGTATCAGGTTGTTTTTTGAAAATTCCTGCTCTTTTATTAGCTCTCTCAGTCTTCTGCCCTCCTCTGTTCCCCTGGTTCTAGCTACTGCTGGCTAATATGTTGCCTTATGAGTGCTAATATGTTCCCAGTTGTTAAGGGCATATACCATTATTAAGAAAACACTTTCTAAGCAAAGTCTTAATTTAATATTAGAAAAATTGGATTTTCAGAAAACCCAACACAGGTTTGTATAACATATTCTAGTGTGAACACAAATGCTTTATACGGTCTTATAAAAAAAAGCAATGTTACTGTCAGATAATTAGCTTTGTAAGTGTGCATACTTCAAGTGCCTCTTTACTTATTCATGCTAAGAGCTTAATAGCTAAGAGCTTAATATATTTGAATGGAAGGGTTGTGCATGGACTTTAAACCTAATATCAAGAAATGAATAGTAAAACCAAAGCTAAACAACCATAGAATTAATTTGTTGTTTCATGAATAATTCAAAAACAAATCTGATTACACTGCATAAGGAATTTAATGCAATTCACTCCCTAATACATTATATAAAAATGTTGTATAATTATAGAAAGTAAATGAAGCATATGCTAATGCCTTCAAATCACATCTAATATAATCTCATTCATTCAAATCAGCAGACCTACAACTGAAAATAGCCAAACATAAAATATTAACAAGGCATGAACATGTCTCCAACCTCTCAATTGCCGTTTGCCACATTTCTGTGAGTTATCATACCATCCCTTGCGTTGTAAAACTGCCTGCTTGAATATTTCATAGAAATGCTTCTGTTTTCCGTCACACTGATTTGTGTGTATTAATGGGTTCTCAGCAGTATTTCTAAAGCTCTATGGCATGTTAAAACCCTCTGTGTACAAAAATGCATTAAGGCTTCAAATGAAAGGACAGGGAGGCAAAATTATGTGATATTCCTTACAAAAAGTAATATAGAAAGAGAATGATGGATTCAGTTGTAAGTAATTTTATTTGAAAAATCTTCAAATATAATACAGTCAAAATGGTTCCACTCTATGCACCCTAATTAATCCAAAACTGTGTATTTGTGCTCAATTAAGCCACAGGCACTTTTTATGAATCAAAATGAGGACAACTTAAAAGACACTTTTTAAGGATTATAGAGCAGTCCCCAAATAATAATTAAAGTGATAGCTCACCCACAATTTATATCATTAATTACTCACATCATAATTCTTGGAACACATTGAATTTATAATGAATGCATAATGAAATATGAGAGTTTTTTGCAGAATGAAAAAACGAATGAATCAAACAAACAAACAAACAAAATCAGCTTTGTTCAACTTTTTTTTCACTTTCACTTTAAGCATTTAAAAAAGCAGCACACTGCATACTTACTTTGATTCAAGAGAAGACATTCCCACAATGCAGACCGTGTCTGACAACAGATAACAGAGAAAACAAACCTATTATAAACACTTATTACACCCATACACTCTTGCATTCACACACACACTCATACACTAGGGCCAATTTTGTTTACCCAATTCCCCAACAGTGCATGTCTTTGGACTTTGGGGGAAACTAGAGCACCCGGAGAAAACCCATGCGAACATGGGGAGAACCAGCAACAGTCCTAACCACTTCTCCAGCACAATAACCTGTAGGTTTCAAACAAGCCTGATGGACACAATTAGTTTAAGCCATATGTCTTTAATTAGGGTTGGAACTAAACTGTGCAGAGCTGCGACCCTCCAGATTTTGACACCTGTGCCTGAAGACCTGCTCACAGTGTGAGATTTCAGCACGGATTTTGTCATCTGAGACCAATTTGGAAAATCCAAAAAAAAAAAAAAAGATTCCTGAAATCCTAGGCTAAAATCAGTGATCTTTGATTGTTGGTTTGACATATTCACAGACAGCTGCTTGTTGAAAGTTGTGATCAGATTTTTCCCTCTGATGAAGTTCTGGCAGTGTCAGAAGGTTTCAGACACTTTCCTGCAGTGTGACAACAGCTACGATGAGCGTCAATTCAAAAGCCCATAAGAGCTCCAGATTTATAAATAGTTTCATTTATAAATAGAATTCATTTATTCATCTGCTGGAAATTAGAACTGAATTTAGAAATAGTTTTGAACAAATCGTTGTGCTTAACAAACAAAATTCAATATGTAGGCTAATGGATGTCTTTAGTTTCCTTATTCATGAAAGTAAAGTAGTAAAGTAAAAATTAAAGTAAGGACAAAGTAAAGAGGCTGAATGGAGGCGGCTCATTCTTTATCCTCGCTGCAGATGGTCTGTTTAACTGTTTTCTCGCTAGTGAAGCATAAATGCACCATGGCGCTACGCAACTGACTCTGAAAAGGAATTGGAGATGAGACTCTGATTGGTTTAATACACATTATACTCAAAACACACCCATAACTCGTTAAGAGAATAAGTACAACTCTGTTAGACCATGCGCCAGACGCAGAGCATATTTTTCTGTACTTAAAAGTGGATTCAGACATGCTCTTGATGCTTTTGCGCCATGTTCTTTATACTTTGCGCCTAGACCGCTAAAACAGAGCCTTGTGTGTGTGCTTGTGTGTGTTTGTGAATGAGAGAGTGTATGGGTGCTTCCCAGCACTGAGGGTTTATTTTCATGGTTGGGTTACAGAAAGAAGGACATCCGCTAGTAAAACGTGTCAGAATAATTAGCGGTTAATTCTGCTGTGGTAAGCCCTAATAAAGAAGAGACTAAGCTGAAGGTGAAGTGATTGAGTGCAGATATAATAATTGTTACAATGAATGATGGTGACAAACAATATTATCCTTATTTTGACATTAAAATTAAAATATTTGAAAATATTAATGTAAACCTTTTACTTGCATACAGTGTATTCATTCTATGTAAATGCAATCACTTTAATTTGGTGTGGACACAAAACACTAAGACAATAATATTACAAAGTATATCTTATTTAAGTAAAAACTCCTCTGCAAGCTTTCTGTTCATCAAAGGAATAACTGAACTTGTCTTAAGTGTTTTTTTTTTCATGTTTGTTTGTTTCAGGTGGTCGGGGAGTGGCGCTTTAGTAAAATCCATTGTGATATATTTGTTACCCTGGACGTCATGATGTGCACGGCCAGCATTCTTAATCTGTGTGCCATTAGTATTGACAGGTAGGTTCCACTATCAGGCCAGGAAATGTTTAATGATTCTCTTAAATGATACGAATACCATATATCAATAATATCTTACCATATATCAATATTGATCTTCAGGGTGGAGTGGAATGGGGGTTGATTTGTGTGCCATATCAAAAAGACATCTTCTATGTTGTGACTCAAACAGTTGTTCTAGCCTAAATACAGTATGTTGTAATTTATTCCTATGTTCAAAGATCAGTACTCCAGTTTTTATTGCCACATGTACCTGATTTGCTGATCAAGAATTATGTTTTAAATTCTGGATCTTTCAAGTCTGTACTCTTTAAAATCGGGATTGATTGATTAATTGAAATATCTAAATATCACTATAAATAAATTTATGCCATTAATACACACACACACACACACACACACACACACACACACACACACACACACACACACACACACACACACACACACACACACACATGAATACACACACATATGAATATACTTTATGCTTTATTTATTTTATTTAGAAAAAGACGCTTTAAATTGATTTGTATTGAAACAAATATTTCTATTTCAGAAAAATGCTGTCCTTCTAAATGTTTTTTGTTTTCATCTAGGAAGACAATATTATAATAAAAAAAATAACAGCCTGTAAATATTGGTCACAGACACTAAGATTTACTTTATATTTCCCCAAGCTAATTAATCACCATAACTTCTATAGATATAGTTTTCATGCCAGGCTGAATTGTAAATGTGAAACAAGCACACACAACTGGTGAGATTTTTGCAATAACCAATTATACAGTAGCTGAACACTGTGTAGTGCACTGTGGAGATCAAAATTAGAGGACAATTTGTTTACACTTTTGGACTATAACTTTCAAAATTTGAAATAATTTTAGTTGCACTTAAAATCTGTAAATCAATCGTTTTAATTACCATGTCAGCATAGATTAGAACAGCATTTTTGATATGGATTTCTTATGGGTAAGAAAACAATAAAAAACAATTCAGTGGGTTATTTAATAAATAATATGAATAATACTTGGTATAATTACTGTTTATACATTACTGTGATGGTTGGGTTTAGAATTGGGGCAGGGGTAGACGTTAATAAAATACAATTAATAGATCATTTAATTAACAATATAACAGTTATTAACTTCCGCCCACAGCTGTATCAGTTCTAGCATTATCTTTATTTTGAGAGCAACATTAATTAGTTTGACATGGTAAAGATGAAATATTCTAGAATCAAACATTACAGATTTGGAGTGGTCAGTGGCCAATACTATGGATTAAAGAGTCTCCCTTTGACCTTCCTCTTGATAATATGTGGTTTCAGCATCTTGCATATTCAGTGAAAACTGAAATGTTAGACTGTTATTTAAATAAGGTTAGAGATAATTTGGGGAATTGCCAGATTAACATCAATTCAAAGCTGAAAAAACAGTATATATAGAAAATCCCATCAAACACAAAAAAGAATCTAAGAGTATTTTCTCACCTGCCTTATTTAGTTGGTGAAATCTCTTGAAGTTCATTTTCCCTCTTGGTGTGGTTTGTTTGTGTAGGTTTGAATGTAGAAATCGCAGTCGAGTGTGCACTAAAAAGGGACCAAAAAAATAGTACTGAGATCTCCTTGAAGAGGTGGTCTCTTTCTAATGAACCCTGAAGTGATTCGTTTGTGGTGAGAACATGATTTGAACTAGAACAGACCCAATCACAAAAAGTACTGTGCCTTTTTGGACTAATCTAGCTGCCGTAGTCCGATGCACTGTGCGTTATGAGATGTGGAGTAAAAAACATTTGTTGATTTAAAACAGAGAGAGAGGGAAGAAAAATTACATGATGGATTGTTGCTTATATTTCCAAAAGATGACCATGTCGCAGTTTAGCTAAATTAATTCATGTCTCCTCTTGAAGTGAGGTGCGATGTGCACATCATTTACAATGCATTAAAACATTGTTTTAGAGCAATTGTTTTGCACTTGCAATTGATGCATTGGCTATCAAGCTAATATTAGTTCAGATGTTCATTTTTGTATACAGTATGTTTTTAACCATTTATTGCTATAAAAACGGGGCGTGTCATCGTGATTGACAGTTTCACAAAGCAGATTGGCGGAACTTTCTGTCCTATTTTACCATTATAAAAGGGGTTCAGCTGTAAACCATATTTTCTGACCTACAGAATTTGATGGATCACTGGTTATTTGGTAAAGTGAGGGCTTTATTATTAGTTTGCTGATAGACACATGATGGGGAAAATACAGGGGATCGTTATCAAGCAGATATAGATCTGAAATAATAATTAGGAAGACAAAACTGAGGTTAGCCTATCTCCACATTGACCCCCGGTAACGTTATTTGTACTTGATTTAAAAGACATCTGTGACATTTTGAGTTACGGCTTGTTGTCGAGTCGATCTTCTAAATTTGTTGTTAAAAATATACATTTTCTAGAAGCATAATCTTATAAAACAAATAGAGCTGTAAATGTTATATTATTTATATACACCATTTACCGGTGGCTTTTCATTTGAAAACACCTACTAAACATTAAAATGATGGTAAATTCTTGATGGTAAACTGCCAGAAATTAAAGGTATGGAATAAACCAAATGAAAACAGGGGAAAAAAATTATAAACCATATACAAGCGAGGTTGCAGCAGCTGGCCTATATCATATAGACATCAGTTGATATATTAATACTGCTAAATTCATTGCACAAATTGACATGGATTATTTTATATCGTGCATGGATGGGTTGTGTAAATATCATGTTGATATTTAGAAATCTTACTGTGTTTATATTGTAAACACATAATTTTTCCCGCACGGCAACTAGCTGTCCATGATTTGTATATTTTGGGTCCAGTTGATTGCTAATTAAAAATAAAAACCCCTCTAAAAATGTTTGTGTTGTTTATAATGTTATTGTTCATATTTTACAATGGATATTTCTATCCCCTTTTTTGTGCTCATAGCTGAGTCTAACTCAGGCTAGAGTAAATGAAAGTTTGTTTATTTTGCACTCTAACATATATTGTTTTTATTAAATAATAAAAACACCTTACATATTATTGCATGTTCTTTTGTATTATGTGTTGAATGTCAAAGCTTATATTTATTTAGCAAGCCTTTGTTATAGTGCAGATACAGGTGGTCAAATGGGGAGTCCGGGGGGGGGGGGGGGGGGGTGGATTTGACATACAGTTAAAGTCAGAACTATTAGCCCCCCTGAATTATTAGCACCCCTGTTTATTTTTTTTCCCTAATTTCTGTTTAATGGAGGGAAGATTGTTTCAGCACATTTCTGAGCATAATAGTTTTAATAACTCATTTCTAATAACTGATTTATTTTATCTTTGTCATGATGACAGTAAATAATATTTTACTTGATATTTTTCAAGACACTTCTATACAGCTTAAAGTGACATTTAAAGGCTTAATGGGTTAATAAAGTGAACTAAGCAGTTTAGGGTAATTAGGCAAGTTATTATATAATGATGGTTTGTTCTGTAGACTATCAAAAAAATAGCTTAGAGGGGCTAATAATTTTGTCCCAATAATGTTTTTTAAAAAAATTAAAACTGCTTTTATTCTAGCCGAAATAAAACAAATAAGTCTTTCTCCAGAAGAAAAAATATTATCAGACATACTGTGAAAATTTCCTTGCTCTGTCAAACATCATTTGGGAAATATTAAAGAAAGAAAAAAAAATCAAAAGGGGGCTAATAATTCTGACTTCAACTGTACTAGCGTTAGATTGGAAGCTTCATTTCGTGGCTTCGCCTCTGGCTCCATCTGGTAGTCCCTTCTGCGCATGCCAAGGCTTCAGTTTCAGCAATTTTTTGCAACAGTTTTTTTCTATCACGAGGCTTTTTTCCTTCAAAGCGTTCAATGGGAAAAAGTGCTGTTGCGTTGTCTATATTTTTTACAATCATTGGTTTGGACCAAAGCAATCAGTGTGGTGTAAAAAAAGGACCCAAAACGGCAGAAAAAAATGCTACGATGTATCATTTGTTGCCCTTGGTCCAGACCAAATGAGCCAAACCACAGATGTGAAAGCACCCTTAAACCATTAAACCAGCATCAAAACTATAATGATAAGAATGGATGGCAGGTAACAGTAGTCTTTTGAAAAACATGAAGAAATTCTGCAATGCAAATTCACACTCCTTCAGCAGGACAATTTTTGCAGCATTATTCATTTCAGTGAGATAAACCAAGTTTACAAGCTTTTTGTTAGAGTAGAAAGACCTCCTGAGGCTTTAAAAATGAAAACGATGGTGGTGATGATGTTTAGATTTAAAACAGTTACAAAAGCCAGAGAGAAGATGACACAATAATGGCAGCTGTTAGCAGGAGCAGCTGGTCAGATGTGACCGTCATTGTTTTCTTCTGTTTGTCGGCTTGAATGCAAAAAGCTGCCCAACCCATCCAGCACCTCTTCATCTCTTTCCCTCTGGGCTTCTCGTGCAGGTACACGGCTGTTGCCATGCCGATGCTGTACAACACACGCTACAGCTCCAAGAGACGGGTCACTGTAATGATCTCGGTTGTTTGGGTGCTTTCATTCGCCATTTCCTGCCCCCTGCTGTTTGGATTAAATAACACAGGTAAATGCTTTGTTCCTTCCTTAAAATTCTTTAATCGAATATGTAAGTTGTGAGTTGTGCATTAAAGGGTTAATTCACCCAAAAAATGAAAACTATGTTATTAATTACTCACCCTAATGTTGTTCTAATTGCCTTTATTATCGTTTGTAACACAAATTAAGTGTGTAGGCAGTAGGCACCTATTGTATCCGTTCCAGTTCTTATTATTATTCTTACATCTTCTTTTTTTTTTAGCTCGGGAAGTGTATGGCAGCTCTATGAACCGTTTGTGGCATTTGCGCAAACTTTGGCACACTGATAGAGGACAGTCTGATCTACAAAAAATTTGGACTAGAACTTGAACTCTCTAGCGCCACCACTTGTCCAAAATTTCACTTATGTTAATCTTTATAACTTTTCAACCAAATGAGCTACAATCAAAATTATTTTTCCCCTTTGATTCCTTTGCTCAAGCCGATTAAAAAAAATTATCGTTATTTTGAATTTTTCACATAACCAATTTGAACAAACTCGTACTTGGCTGTTTGTCCAATTAAAAAAAAAATCAAACAATCTACAGACCATGCTGACCAAAAGTTGTTAAATTCAAGTTGATTAGACGAAGGGTTTTCGAATAACTTGCAAACAATTTAACGTAGAGCTTGTGAAAATCTCCCAAATGCATTGACGTATTTGCACCAAACTTGGTGCGTGTTATCACAAACATGGTCTGAAGATAGCTACACCGTTTCAACACACTGCCCCCTAGTGGTCCGGAGATTCAAAATAACTTTTTTGCTTATAATTTCTCAACCCTTTTTCCATAATTCATACAATTGGTCTTTTTACTTCCCACGAAGCATGTCAAGTTGAATGATGTCTAATTTTTCAATATAAATTTTTCAATTATTAATTCTTTTTCCACTGCTCCATGACTTTATATTCTATACTGTACATTATTTATGTTAAGTGACAAGACTTTCTTCTAAGCAAAGTCAGACCTTACTGTCCTAATTAAATCATTAAAAATCAAGGCATGATCATCTTTTATTTTGGTAAAACAAGCACAATCTAGAGACCTTTTCCTTTCGTATAAGCCAATTCGGTTCCACTTTACATTAAGTGGCCTTAACTAATATGTACTTAAACAGGAGTTAATAGTTTGTTACAATGTACTTGCTGTGTAAATACATGTATTTATTGTGTACTTATGTTTGATTAAATACATGTATGTAGTTATATCTGTATTAACTTCTGTAATTACATTTGTAAATACACTGCTGACCATTCCCTACAACTTAACCTACCCTTTAACCTACCCCCACCACCAAACCTGTCCATAACCCAACCCCTATCCCAACTCAAGAGCACCACAGGTGTTCTCAAATACATTATGAACACAGTAAGTACATTGTATTTCTTTTTGATGCAAGTACATAGTAGACACTTAATTTAAAGTGGGACCGCCAATTCTGACACCAACTGATCAACTAGGAGTTAAGTTACTATTTGTTGTACCTAAAACTTGGATGGGTAACAAGACTTTTGACAGGTAGTGTAGAACAATGGTATGTATTTGTGTTCTCACATTATCCAAATATACTAATATACTAGCTGTAGCATCTTGCAAGGCACTTATTCATTATCTTTGCTGGTGTTACTCTGATACAAAGTTTAATGGTTAAATAAAAAAGTTATATTGTCAAATTTCAACCCTACTTTAGTCCTATTTCTAATCCTCCTTTAGTCTCGTGTCCTGTCTGCTTTTTTCCATGGGTGTGTGAATTCCCAAAATCTTATGATTCCCTGCAAACTTACAGGTTCATCAGGATATAGCTATGTTGAAAACTGCTCACTCATTCACTACTCACTAATCACTATATAAAGAATGTCAGTTGCATTGACTATATGATGAATGAGGGCACTAAAATGAGTTAGTGAGTTCAGACAGTGACTTAAACAATAAGTCTCATTACAACAACCATCCTGAAATAAATCCCATTAGGCTTTGTGTATTAAATGTCAGTTTATATTTTTTACCATTATTACATTATTTGACAACAAAGAGAACAAAACAACAGCTTATCTTGCTTGTTATTTACTTTTTAATTCATTAATTTTCCTTCAGCTTAGTCCCTTTATTCATCAGGGGTCGCCACTGAGGAATGAACCACCAACTAATCCAGCATATGACTTACACAGCGGATGCCCTACCATCTGCAACCCAACACTGGGAAACACCATATACACTCAGTCACACACACTCATACACTACAGCCAATTTAGTTTATATAATTCACCTATACCGTGTGTCTTTGGACTATGGGGGAAAACGGAGCCACCATGCCAACACGGGGAGAACATGCAAACTCCACATCGAAATTCCAACTGACCCAGCCAGGTCTCGAAGTGGTGACCTTCTGACAACCACTGAGCCACCTATTTACTTTTTAATTATATTTATTTGATTAAAATAAAAATACCAAATTCACATTTGTTAGTTCGTAAGGATTTATTATTATTATTAATTATAAAATATATAGTTCTAGTCCATGACTGTGATTGGTTGAGCCACATTCTATGCTGTTTTGATATATTCTACAACATGCATTTGTGATTGCTGCTTTGCAATCATCACACTCCTATCAATACTGAACTTAAGAATCCATTAAATTTCCTTTATGTTGTAAAATGCATATGGAATTACCCTTTTAAAAAGCAATAAGCCCTGTGAAACGGTGCCATGCCTAAAACGCCCTTAGCTGTTAGGTGTAAATTCAATGTAAACCATGTCTTTATGGGGTTTATTGCTTTGCTGTATTATATAAAAGCAATAAACCCCATAAATACTTCAATTGAATTGGCAGCTTCCTGTGTTCACACTAGCCATTCAACAATATTTTGCTCTTTAGCTGCATAGCAATGGATTTTACAAATTTAGTGAATGAATGTTGTACAAAAATATAAAAGACACCCAATAGAGTGCACTGTACAGTGGATGGTATAGGTCAGGGGTCACCAATCTCGGTCCTGGAGGGCCGGTGTCCCTACAGGGTTTAGCTCAAACTTGCCTCAATGCACCTGCCTGGATGTTTCAAGTATACCTAAAAAGTCCTTGATTAGCTTGTTCGGGTGTGTTTGATTAGGGTTGGAGCTAAAATCTGCAGGACACCGGCCCTCCAGGAACAAGTTTGGTGACCCCTGGTATAGGTTATTTTAGACAAGGCCAGCAAACAATTTTGTGCTAAATAGACCTCTAATAGACATCTAAACTTAGACAGCTTAGCTAAAACAAGGCAAAACTTGAGTTGTTAGTGAAAATCTAAGAGACATCTAAAAATTGCTCAAAACTAGACTAGTCTTTAAAAAGACAGATTAAACAGACTTTATATGTGTAGTCATTCATTTCTGTTTATTTGATGACTAGTCTAGTTTTGGCCTATTCTTAGATATCTATTAAATTTTTTTACTAACAGCCCAAATTTTGCCTTATTTTAGCTAAGATGACTATGTTTAAATGTTTATTAGACATCTTTAAAAAACAAAAAACTTGCAAAAATGCTAAGTTGTTTAGAGCTGGGGTTCTCAAACTTTTTCCATTTCGGGGCCCACTTCTTTCTCAGACCAATTTTTGAAGGCCCACCTGTCTGACATTTTCTCTAAAATGTTTGAATGAAATTCTTATTTAAACCTTTATTTATTACTAAACATATATATACCACAGGTCAACAGGGAGATTGCAAAAGACTAGCTTCTGCTTTAAACTGGACTGACTGAATATCCACTATTAAATATCTACCATTTCAAATGATACAAACAAATGTAAAATACCCTGTTTAAATGCATCGATCTGATGGCAGTTGAGTTTGCAGCAGGATGTTATTGGGAGATCGCTGACAGGAACAGTGAACAGCTACGCCAGCGCACGTCTGAAGCTCATTTGCAAGTTTGTTTTACATTCTATGGCAGAAAGACCATTGAGCCTCGCTATCCTCCTGTATGGGCGCACATCCAATATAAAACATTTATAGTACAGGACATTATTTTGGACAACTATGCAAATATATTAAATAGTTCACACAAAAATACATTAAGACAGACTTTTACTTTCACCTCAAGCATAGGTTGTGTATGAAAAAATTTACGTGTACCTGATGCGATCATGAGATCATGAGTTTTTGTGCCGAGTTTGAAGTTCTCAATCAGAGAACAAAAGAAAGTGCATTACTTTGATCATTTTGACATAGTATATTAATAATGAAATTCAAAAATCATAGTATTATATTTAAAGTTAATTTTAAACCCGTGGGCCACCTGCAGGATCACTGCAGAATGTGGCCCTCAGAATCCCTGGTTTAGAGTATGTGACCTCAAGTGGCAAAACGTGCATATAGTGCCACTGAAATAACAATTTGAACAAAATTTCTGTCTCACTTTTGACCTCTGAAAATGTCAGAAGCAAACTAATAAATAATTATATAATGGTTTGCATGACATCATCACTATAAGATCTTGTCAAAGATGTATTTTTTAAGTTAAACAATACAATAACAATCAAAATTAAAACAAATTGAGGTGAGTAAAAACAAATAGGATCCATTTGAGGTTGATTATATAAAAAATACAAAGTCGACACATCATCACCAGATATTTATTTTATCACCTTTAAAGTGAAATAACCTAAAAAAAATTATTACGGCACTTAGATATTTTTAAATTTGAACTGCTCTAACATATTAAATTTATGTTCTTTTGCATTAAGTTTTGATTTGAGCCAATACTGTTGTAATATTTGTAAACATTTACCAGAATGTTTCAAACCTAATTATAATCCCATGGTAATTTTTGATTGCTATGGGAAATTCGCCAAATACAGGCATCTGCTAGTGTGTCACTGAGCTAATTACATTTTGCAATCATAATTAATTGAGTAACCATATTTTCCCTATCTCTATCTCTCTTAGCTACACGGGATGGCTCTGTGTGTGAAATTGCCAACCCCGCTTTTGTTGTCTACTCCTCCATCATGTCGTTCTACGTGCCCTTCATTATCACCCTCCTCGTCTACGTGCAGATTTACGTGGTTCTTCGCAAGCGGCGGAAACGGGTCAACACTAAACGGAGCTGCCAGAAGACAGACGCTGATGCTCAACCCCCTCTCAAGGTGATATGCACCATGTGAGACAATAGCCTGAGGGAAAATACAGAGCATTCCCCACTGGACAAGACATGGTGTCAGTGGCGTTTAATAAAAGGAGTTGACCTCTTACTAGAAAATATAGGAAGTAGCTGTCAGAGTTTATTATAGAGTTTCTGTGGTAATACTTGGAGCTCCATAACAGAGATGCACTACTGGTCAAAAATGTATAGTAATACAGCAACATTGTTTTTAGAAAATGCTTAGAAATTTAGAATTTAGCTTTCTGTGTAAAGTGGTTCAATTATGCTCTTTTACAAGGTTTTGATTTTGTTTGGGGGGGGGGGGGGTGGTATTACATCATGCTTGGTACAGTAGGTTGGAAAAACACATAATTTACATCATTACAATACGTTTGTTGTTGTGAGAGTACACAACAAAAAGTAGACACATAACAGATGTGATTGATGTATTGATCTTATTTGTATGAACTGAAAGCACAATTTAAGTTCATTTCAGCAGTTTGACAACAATACAGATCATAACGCGTATAAGCCTCAAAAGGTTAAAAATTGCCTTTTTAATCAGCTCGAAACAGTCTGGCCATTCTCCTCTGACCTCTGGCATCAACAAGGCATTTGCACCAACAAAACTGCCACTCACTGGATGTTTTCTCTTTTTCAGACCATGCTCTGTAAACCCGAGAGATGGTTGTGCGTGAAAATCTTAGAAGATCAGTAGTTTCTGAAATACTAATGCCCATCTGGCACCAACCATGCCACGTTTAAAGTCACTTACAGTAAATCACCTTTCTTTCCCATTCTGATGCTCAGTTTGAACTGCAGCAGATTGTCCTGACCATGTCTACATGTCTAAATGCATTAAGTTGCTGCCATGTGATTGGCTGATTAGAAGTTTGCGTTAATGAGCAGTTGTACAGGTGTACCTAATAAAGTGGCCCGTGGGTGTATATAACAATTTGCTGTTTGCAGATTGTGTTTATAGTTGTGAGAATTATTATGAAAAACTCTATCAATGTTATCGGAAAGATCGTGTAACTCTTAAGATTGGATTAAGGACTGCTTTGGCTCTTCATATACAATTTAATTTTAAAACTAATGTACAAGTAGAAAATATGTATTTTCGTCACAATCAGTTTGCTTTTGTAATTATTGTTTAGTTGTCTTTTTCTTTGGTCCATTCAATCTTGTTTGCTTGTTTATTGTTATTATGCAGGTAGATTGTGGTCACCGGTGTCTAGTTTACTTTCTTTTTAGTTTTATTTTGCCCTGTTTTGTATCTTGAGCTCCTCCTTTGTTGTTGAATTATTTAGTTTGTTTGTAAACAAGGGAATAACTTTACAGCAAATCAGTCCAAAAGCTGCATCTAGATCCACCGTTCCTTTTCCTTACCTGGTCTGTCATGACAGTTTCATAAACATATTACAATATTACTGTTTAATGCATTGTTATTTAATTATGCTCAGCCTTGGGCGAACAAACATCTTTCAAAAACATTTGAAACTCTTTAATTATTTTGAACTTTTTCCTAGTTGTATGCAGTAAACCCAAAGCTATTTTTCAGCCCTGAAATCAATGTTTTTGTTTAGTTCAGTTATTTAATTGAATTCTCACTGTTGGCAGATAGATACAGCATCTTAATAGGCATCCAAACAAAAAATGAGTAGTTTGTCTTTAGACTGCGTCTCCACTGTGGATTTTGTATTTTGTTATGGGGCATTGATTTAACCTTTTTTGAATATGCATTACCCTCCGGACACTGTGAAAGTAAAGCCATTACAACAAATTGAACAAAACCAACACAATGCCAACAATTGTAAGCCATTTTTTTTCTGCCGCTGTAAGGTTTATAAACATAATTCCCCATGCAATCTATGTGTCACGGCAGACTGTGCTTGTGATATAGTGCAGTTTCTAAGTATTCATATTCTATTTTCATCGCAGTACTGGAGAGCTACAAATGATTTCTTTCTTCTGACCTTTGCGCTCTTTCATCATTGATTTCTCACACCAGCTGTTTTTAATGGCCCCTTTGGATCAATAGGTTCAGCCGTCTAGTTTTAAAAGGTCCCAAGGACTTTTTTTGGTGCTTAAAAATTACTGAAGCAATCACTTTTTTCATTCCATTTTAGTGCAAGAAGGGCTCTTTCGAGTTCCCTGGATTTGTTTGCATTGTCTGTCATCAAAAAGTGCCAAATATACATCTGAATGATTTTCATGCTGTTTTTGAAATGTAATGTCGACCACACACTGAATTAAATTCTTATTACCTCTGCCACAGGAAAAGTGCACTCATCCTGAAGATGTGAAACTGTGCACCGTTATCATTAAGACCAACGGGGGTGTACCTGCCAAAAATAAGAAAGCAGTAAGTACTTTTAAAACCAGCAAAAAAAAATTATGTAAATAGCATGTATTTCTCTGATTGACATATGCATGCAGCTGCATACATTTTGATATTCTATGTGTATTATTAGCTCCCCTTATTTTATTTTTTAAATTCCTAAATAATTTTTAACAGAGCAAGGAAATTTTCACTGTACAGTATGTCTGATATTTTTTTTCTTCTGGAGAAAGTCTTATTTTATTTTATTTTATTTTGTTTTATTTTGAGTAGAATAAAAGCAGTTTTAAATTATTTAAAAACCATTTTAAGATCAAAATATTAGCCAAAATATCAGTAATTAGACATGAATTAATAAAACTATTATGTTTAGAAATATGTTGGAAAAAATCTCTCCGTCAAACAGAAATTGAGGGACAATGTCAACAGGGGGGCTAATAATTCAGGGGCGCTAATAATTCTGACCTCAACTGTCTATATATATATATATATATATATATATATATATATATATATATATATATATATATATATATATATATATATATATATATATTGTAGCGAGGCAGAGGGAAAACACATACACAGTTGCGTTTAGTTACAAATAAGTCCCCGGAGGGTGCTTTATTTACAAAGTGAAAGGGGTGAAATACGGTGCTCTTCTTGGTAAAGGTGCTCCGGGGAGAAGGTGAAGGATAGTGAGAGTTCGAGTGCTGGATCGTCACGAGCTGGAGTCCGCTGTGGGAGAGACAGAGAGACACAAGCATTAACGCAGGGAGTCATCTGAGAATGAAGCTCGTCTTGACAATTCTTTGTGGAGTTTGCATGTTCTCCCTGTGTTCGTGTGGGTTTCCTCCTGGTGCTTTGGTTTCCCCCACAGTCCAATGTGATACTGGTGAATTGGGTAGGCAAAATTGTCCGTAGTGAATGGGTGTGTATGGATGTTTCCCAGAGATGGGGTGCGGCCGGAAGGGCATCCGCTGTGTGAAACATGTGCTAGATAAGTTGGCGGTTCATTCCGCTGTGGCGACCCCAGAGTAATAAAGGGACTAAGCCAAAAAGAAAATGAATGAATGAGTTAATGAATATATATTATTCCTGAATTATTAGCTCCCCTGTTAATTTTTTCCCCAATTCCTGTTTATCAGAGAGAATATTTTCCTAACACATTTCTAAACAAAATAGTTTTAATAACTCATTTCTAATAACTGATTAATTTAATCTTTGCCATGATAACAGTAAAATATATTTGACTAAATATTTTTCAAGATTTTTCTATGAAGCTTAAAGTGACATTTATTGGCTTAACTAGTTTAATTAGGTAACTAGGCAGGTTAGGGTAATTTGTTTTGTTTGTTTGTTACATTTGGATTGCTGAGTCATCTATAGTCTTGGTCACTTGCATAATCCTCGTTCCATGCTGACAGAAATGTTATGTCGAATGATTGACTAGGGGGTTCGCATAGAAGACCAATTACTCTGATTTGTATAAAAAAAAACAATGAAATTTGTATGGGATTGGTGAGTGCAGCTCCTCCAGGTGCACCCACTTCACAATTAGGAGTACTGTATATAAAGCATGCCTGCAGGCTAGCAGATCAAGCAAGGCAATTCAGCTTTAATGGCAAAGGGGACATAACGTCTCTGTTTTCTCTTTTAAAGAATGAGGGTTATGGAGGTAACCAAAACATTCCCTTTCAATTGATAACTGAGTTATGTATGAAGACTGTCACAGTAGCTGAATTTGTTGTGCGTTTGGGGTACGTATGCTAGTTGAGTAGCGTGAGTACAACCAGCAGCAAAGGTGCAACCATCCAGCGTCCCTTGGCCCTTCATTATTTAAATAATTTAATTTGTTCCATTTATTTGGGGCCCGGTCGTTAGGGCAGCAGTCACAGGAGAGAACCACAGACGTCCATCTCCAAAAACACTTCTTCTAGCTCCTTTAGGGGGATCCTAATGTCCAATCAATAATGGTGTGCCCTGCCATGCTGTGAACGAACTAATTTTTGCTGCTTGTTTACTGGGGAAAACTCCAACACATGGCAGCTATGTTGGGGAACTATAAGCAATCCCACACCAGCCTACCACCTCTCACCATGGGCAACTCCAAAATCCAGCCATTCTCAAGAAGTTGTGTTCCAGAGCCCAAAATGGGCCTGGAGGGTAGCCTAACTATCTCACCGGTACCGTTCAACCTCCTTCACAACCACGAGTTCAGTAAGGTGACATTCCATGTCCCAAAAGCCAGTTTTTGTGCCTGATGATCCAGTTGTTGGCCTAACCTTCGACCACCACCCATTCCACAGTGCACCGGCCCCTTACAGCTACCCCTGACTGAGTACGGCTGGGTTCTGTAGGATAAAACCTGGCCACAAGGTTCTCGCATACAAGCCCCAGACCTGACTCAAGGGTAGGGCCCCAGCTGTGCCATGCTGGGCAACGTCATGGTCCGCGATACTTTTGTGATTGTAAAGGGGTTTTGAACCGCACTTAGACTGATTTGTCACCTGAGAGCTTTTAGCCCAACCAACCCTACCAGGGGCATTAGCCCCTGACAACATTGCTCTTAGGATCACTCAGGCACTAAAAGCTCTCAAGCACGATAAGGTGGCAGTTCATGGCGGAGCCCCTTGGCCCTGAATACCAAAATAACAACTTCGCAGTCAACATAACCACAGAATTGTTAAGCAAAATATTTTAATTAAAAAACTTTTTTTTAAACAAGATGCTAATGGTCTAATCTGATTTAATTATATATTCTATAATAAGCTGAAAGTGCTCCTAGCAGTGTTCCTCTAATGTAGCCATTATTTCTGAACAACAAGAGTGAAGTGTATACAGATTCAAAGTGTCATCATACAGCTAATGATAAACATGTCTTCAACAGCAACTAATAAAAGAGGTCCTGCACCAGGGTGGTGATGTGGGGATGGAAATGGTGGCAGGCACCAGTCCGCCCGAAAAGAAAAAACTGGCATCCTCGCTAGTCGTCGACTTGTTGGCCACCCCTCCAAGTCCCAATCATGGCTCACCATCCCACGCCGAATATCAGTCCAACGGAGATGAGAAAAATGGCCATGCCAAGGACGTCCAGTCCCCAAAAGAAACCAAACCTGTTGAAACTCAGGCACTGCCTAATGGCAAAACCCGAACTACAGTGACCAAAACCATGAGCAAGAGGAAAATGTCCCAGCATAAAGAAAAGAAGGCCACTCAGATGCTGGCTATCGTTTTAGGTGAGGTCATTTTACACAACAATTGCTCAGCATATATTGAGGTCTTGTCCTTAGAATACCTCAGCTTCATTCTCTCTGTTGCAGGTGTTTTCATTATTTGCTGGCTGCCCTTTTTTATTACTCACATTTTAAAAACTCACTGCACGAGCTGCGTGGTGCCGCTGGAAATGTACAATGCCTTCACTTGGCTGGGATATGTGAACAGCGCCGTCAACCCCATCATATATACCACTTTCAATGTGGAGTTCAGAAAGGCTTTCATAAAGATATTGCACTGCTGAGGATATTATTCACCACACACATAGAAGAGAAGAGATGGGAGATTTCACCAGAGGTTAGTGCCATCTTTCACCACCATGTGAAATGGGGGATTTATAAAGCGGTGCTTTTAGGAGAGAGCGGATGAATACATTACAGAAAATGGAGGTTCAAATGAATGTAAAAGTGGAGTTTTATTTATGTGTCTCCATTATTTCTGACAGTGGAATGCATGTGTGCGGATGCATCTGTTTTTTTTTTTTTTTTAGTTCGAATGTGTAAAGAAGTGTATCTTCTTGACATGAGCTAGCGAATGAGACTTTTATGCAAGCAGGGATCTGAATGTTGTAATTACATCATTGTATCAATTTAGTGGTGAGAAACTGATTACGCAATGCTTTGTTTATTCAAGTATTTATTTAGCCATCAAACTATTTATTTAATTGAAAGCTTGTTAATAAAGGGATAGATATTGTAAAAAAAATAATAAATGAGGTAAAAAAATAAATAAATATGGTGAAAAAAACATAACACAGATATTGTAAAGGTGCACTCAGTAATCTTTTATTTACGTTTGATTGTTCGTCTTGGACAGTTACTGACACGTAGGGGCCAGGACTGCAATTTAAACAAAAAAATAAATCAGTTCGCAATGTGTGTTCAATTATAAATTAACTGTTTGCAACCAGACATGATTAGTCAGAGTGTACACCAATTTCCAATAATTACTTTATATGTGAATAAATAAATGAATTAACTGGAAGATGTGGATTCTTCCAAATTTCAGATTAAAATATAAAAAACAACAATGACAGTTGGTCAAAATGCGAATTATTCATCCAATTAATGCTTTCGTAATATTCTGAAGCTAAAGCATTAGCATTGAAAATGAGCAATATCACATGAGTAGAAGTGCGATATGGCTGTATATAAGGCGTGCCTTAGTTCCCCACCAGTGACAATATACAGCCATATCACACTGCTACTCGTGTGATATTGCATTTATACAACAGTTTGATGACAAAATAATGTAAATAAAAAGAAAATCAAACATGGAGAATCTAAAAACAGGCAGCTGACGTCAGAGCAGCAGAAGCCTGTACTAAATCACCAAAGTCACTTTAGAGCTAGTGTTTGAGTGATTCTCTAGCGTGATATCTAAAGTGTGATAAAACAGGTTCTTTTTGCTGACATTTTAAGATTATAAGGCTGAATGGCATGAAATGCCATCAGTCTACAAAGATTTGTCAGTATTGCTCTGCTGCAATTGGGATATCACAATAACTAACCCCGAAAAAGCTGAAGCAACGCAAACACTACCAGATTCGTAATAGGGAAAAACATTAAACACATGGGGGCATTTTCTTCTTTTTTTTCTTTTTACTGAACTAGTATGCAGTAATGAAAACAGGATATTCATTAGAAACAATCAGATGCTTAACCTAAAAGTAACTTAGGGTTATACAAAGAGTGGCCAACACAAAATACATTCCTGATATGTGAGTCCCATCTCACACTTAATACACTACAATAATTATACAAAAGAGAGATATCAACTTAGAAAGTCACTTAGTTTTAGTTTTATTGTGATTTGACCAGCTGTAGCTTAAAATGACGCTGGTTTTTCTCCTCTAATGGCTTATTATGCAGTCTCTGTTGCTATCTTGTGGATGGTGCTGTATCTCCAAAATGAAAAATATTTTCTTTATAAATAAACTGCATAATTGCATCTAAAAAGCCTTAAAAGTACATTAGGTTGTCCAACAGCTGCATTATTTGTCAAACTGCAGTAAGTGTGGGTGGAGTAATACAGAAGGGTGTGGAGGCTGTACGGGTTCTGATATTGCAGAATAAAACACTGCTATCAGCCAACCAGATTTGAAAACCAGACATAATAGTTGTATAAAAAATAATATAGACTATAATATAGACTGTGCCTGAAAACATAGCACCTTTTTTATTGTCAGTAGTTTTGTTGTGTTTTATTTAAAGATTTCTTTGCAACTCCAGAGAAACTTTTAATTTTCAAGTAGTCTCCTATATTCTTCTTCTTATTATTATTATTATCATCATCATCATCATCATCATTATCATCATCATCATCATCATCATCATTATTATTATTAATAATTTATTTTAAATAAATATAATATGTATTCTATATTTAGTTATTTTTTATAAAGAAATTACTGGGTGCACCTTTAAGCAAACAGAAATTAATGCCTTTGACTTACCGACTATGAAAGACAATGTAAATAAGAATTAAATAGTTTTATTGAAGCCCATGACAAAAATGATCATGCATGTTACATTGGTATTCTGAATTAAACTGCAGCCAATGTATGTCTGTTGTAGATTGTGTGTACATCACTACACAAATTTATCTGACAGTATATAACGTTGTGTCTATGTTTTCTTTTCTATCTGTCTAATACTGCTATGTTCACTGAAATAGATGTTTGATTTGTCATGTGACAGTTCATTTTTTTGTGATTGGATAAAAATAAAGCACAAATCATTTGTGAAGAAAATATTTAATGATGCAAGCTGTTTTAAACCTGGCCATAGACATCGATCGCTGGATTGGCACGTTATACATTGTACATTGTACAGTCTGTACATGCAGTACACAAGTTTCAATACAGAATTTTATATTATACAGGATAATGACCTTTGACTATTCTGCAGGTACAATAAATAATTATTTCAATTGTAATTAAGCTTCATTTTTTTCTGTTGATAAAGATATTCTGTTACCAGTGTCATTTTATAGATTATACCCAGCATAATGTTTTTTTTCCCCAGTGATCATTTTAGTAATAGTCAGCAGAAATAAAATGATATCAGCTAAAGTGTGTATTGATTTATGTCAAATGGTTTAATCCTACAGTATATTACAGCCTATTTTGCAGATACAACTATAGGTAAGCTCTGTTTTTGCTACCAAAGCATCGCATTAAACTGGCTCAACCAATAGAGTGTAACTTTATGACCAATTACAGATGGTTGTTACTACTCTACACTTTTCAGCTCCTGAATTGCTATGAGATCATCACACAATGCCGATCCTGATGACTCAGTCTTTTCAATGAGGGCTTAAATTCAGTTGTTTTATGTAACAAATATCAGACTAGCAAGCTGAAATAGATGTAATTTGCCTTTGTTTGTGGGCGAATGCTCTGAGTGCAAAAGCTCTTCAATTATTTATTTACTTCAAGGATTGGCAACACTTTTGTCATAAAGTGCCACTTTATAAAAAAAAATATTAATAATAATAATAAAAAAAAATTCCAATATAAAAATTACCAAAACTCATCAGAAGCACTGTATATTACAGTGCTCAACATAAATGAGAACACCTCCTACATATCCCTTTTTTAAATGAGTATATGCTCTACAATAGTACTGTATATGCACTCACCGGCCACTTCATTAGATTCAGCTGTTCATTAACGCAAATTTCTAATTAGCCAATCACATGACAGCAACTTAATGCATTTATGCATGTAGACATGTTCAAAAGGATCTGCTGCAGTTTAAATCGAGCATTAGAATGGGGGAAAAAAAAGTGACTTAAGTGACTTTGAACGTGGCATGGTTGTTGGTACCAGATGGGCCGGTCTGAGTATTTCAGAAACTGCTGATCTACTGGGATTTTCACACACAACCATCTTCAGGGTTTACAGAGAATGTTTCGAAAAAGAGAAAAAATCCAGTGAGCGGCAGTTCTGTGGGCGCAAGAGCCCTGTTGATGCAAGAGGTAAGAGGAGAATAGACTAAGCTGTTAAAACAGCAACAGTAACTCAAATAACTACTCGTTACAACCGAGGTATGCAGAAGAGCATATCTGAACTCACAACGTCTGGATTCTTGAACATGACAATGAGTTCACTGTACTCAAGTGCCTCCACAGTCATCAGAACTCAATCCAATAGAGCATCTTTGTGGTGCTGTGGTGGAACAGGATATTGGCATCATGGATGTGCAGCCGACAAATCTGCAGCAACTGTGTGAAGCTATCAAGTCAATCTGCAAAATCTCTGAGGAATAATTCCAGTTCTTTGTTAAATTCATGCCACCAAGGATTAAGGCAGTTCTGAAGGCAAAAGTGGTTCCTAATAAAGTGGCCGATAATTGCATGTGCATGTTAGATTAGTCAGTGAAAAAAAAACTGGAACTGATCTTACAAAAAATAGTACACCCAATTTAATACAGGATGATTCAAAAAGAATTCCACAACTTTAAAAATCTGTATTTAATCTAAGAAACATGATGGAACCTTGGGTATATAATCAATGTGAAGAGTACTTAAAGTTTTTTTTTTTTTTTTCCAGTAGAAAACAAATTCATAAATGTTCAATATGACCCCTCCAGACACTCGAGTGACATTTACATTTAGTCATTTAGCCGACGCTTTTATCCAAAGCGACTTACAAATAAGCACAAGGAAGCAATTTACACAACTATAAGAGCAACAATGAATAAGTGCCATAGGCAAGTTTCAGAGAAATATAAATAATATCAAATTTACTTAAAAATTTGTTTATATTTCATATTTATTTATTATTTTTAGTATTTATTTTTAGTATTAATATTTCTAGATTAAATTGAAATGATTGTCTTTCTATTCCTAAAGAGGTGACCAAGCTCTTTTTTTAAGAGAAGAGTTTAATTAAACAGTAGAGTTTAAACACACCAAAATTAATTTGATATATTTAGTGAGAAATTGATAAAAAAATATAAATTTGAATAATTTTTGCAGAGAACTTTACGCAAACACACACAAATACATAACCAAAAAGGAGTAATTATAGAAACACATTTAATCATTATACCATTAAAAAAATATTGAGCAATTGTCTTTCATACACTCAAATGATATGTTTGTTTTCAACATGGAATTTGCGTGTGGAATTTAAAATCCTTATACTTAGTTGAAACATTTATGTCTCACTAGAGAAATAAAATAAATATTTATTATTATTATTATTATTATTATTATTATTATCATCATCATCATCATCATC